ATTAGAGAACTTAAGAGAAATTTATACTATCCATGTTCTTTGAGATCAGTTTCAACTACTTCCAAATATTTGCGATCAACTATCCTATATGCAGCGTGAGTTTGATCATTTTTCTCAATATCATTATGAACAGCAGCACATTTTAAAATGTTTTGCTTAAGAAACATGGTATAATTTGTGCTGGTACAATTGTGTTTCGAGTGCCAAGTTGTTAAACACGGAGTAATTTGAGCAACTGTTTAGTTTTATTACAAGTCCAATTTAAGTTGTATGGTTTGGTAATGTATGATAAATAAATATTTTTGTATATACGTGAAGATTTTTTCTTATTGGCAAATTTTAATTTTTTTCCCAAAGCTCTCACTAAAACACAGAGTCGCTTCTTTATTTGAGGTATGATGTATTACTCATACCTGCCTAAGATAATATTAGCCAAAAAATGATTATTTTCTTGCCACAGGCCCACATCTCAAAGAGGATTGGACAAAAGCATTCACTCAAACTAACACTTTTTAAGAATAAATCAGTCTAAATGCTAATCAGATTAATTAAATAGCTTCTCAGAATATCTTAAAAAAAGTGGACCGCCATATGTAAGGCAATATTATACGAAGTATATGGTTATAGATCAGAGAGTAGATGCACTACAAGAAATTCAGAAGTTATGGAATTTAGTGGTGGAACGTGATTCCGCCATTAAATAGTGGCGGACATAGTGACGGAATCGTATCTGCCACAAATTAATGACGGATTTCGTGGCGGCTCTATTTCTGCCGGTAATTCAAATTTAGTGGCAAACATTAGTGGCGGATAGGATCAGCCGCTATTTAGTGACGGAAATTAGTGAATCATGCTATTCCTTCTGGCCTAGCAGTCCATTGTAGCTGAGCAAACAATATCCATCTAAAGTATCATAAAAGAAAAACAATTGAATTTTGAAATACTCAATACCATAATTTTAGTATTTACATAATATCTTGGTATCATATTACCTAAAAATGATATTAATATTATTGGCTCATATAACCAAAAGGTTTTGCTTATAGAATCTAAATACGTGTAGTTCTTTGTTTCTACTAAATAATCTATATATTCTTTAGGTCATGTAGGGATTTTTTCACTCAGTGAGTTAAAAATTTCATCTTTAGGAAGGACAGCTAAAAGTTTTGTTGACCATTATGACTTGGGAGGGCGGTGGATGCTTGGGTCACAAATAGGATTTTTGAAGTGGCGAACGTTTCGGTCAACGGTGTCAATTGGGAGAGGGTGAAAATTAATGAATTATTATCATTATCATTTAGGCGTTGTTTATTTATATTTATTAGGATTTGAATTTTGGGATGGAATCCTTTGAAGTGTGGTGTCAATTGACACCACTGAAATTATTTTTTTCCATATATAGGTATATAAATTTTTTCAAAAAACTTAAAATTGGCACATCTGAAAAGAAAATTTTATTTATGTAATATTTCATAAATTATAAATTGATACCAGTCCACCATTAAAAATTGGGGATGGTTTGGTGAATGATGTCTTAATTATTTTTATTGAAAAAGAAATATTTTATCCCAAAAGGATTGGCCAATTTGACTGTTCTTGGTCAATGTTAAAGTTTAGACAATAATTTTAGCTATTATATTTGTGTGTAATTTATAGATTTCATACTTTTATGAAAGATTTTTTACTAAAGATTATACACATAATTTTCATATTTGAAATTATTTTGTGTTAAAAGTATAATTGGTCAAACTTGATCACCGTTGACCAAGAAAACTCAATTTGACCAATCTTTTTGGGAAGAAGAGAGTATTCAAAAGTTTTGACAAAGAAAAATTGTACAACGTTTTCAAAATATCAAAACTCATCGTGAGCAGTTCTGAATTAGCACTTTAATTTCATTAATCAAAATATTTAATGTTTTTTTGCTGATTATTGTACACATTATCACGGACTATGTAATATTGTTGTACTAAATTGACATCACCAACACTAGATCCTGGCTCCGCCCCGGGATGGAATAGCACAGTCCAATTGCATTTTTTTATTTGTTTATATGCTACTTAAGGTTGATATACGTGCATGTATATACATATATATATAATGAGTTTTTTGACTTCTAAAAAAATTGGATGAAGATCCTGTTGGAAAACCACCAAAAGTTTATGGAAATCAATAATACGTGGTATTGTTTACAGAAAAAATAAGAAGCAAATATATCAATTTAAAGTATGATTAAATCATTAAATATATACATTCATCATGTGATTTATATAGTGACTAATGCATTCACAGAAACGTGATTTTTTTTGATAAATTGCATTTATAATTTTTTATGCATTAAGAGTTCGTTTGATAATACTCAAATCGACTGTATTGGTTGATTCTGCTGAAATTTATGAAGTTCTATATGAAATGACTAAATTAATTAATTTTGTTGGTTTATGAAAAAATTATACGATAGTATTTAAAATTTATTTTATTAATAAAATAAAGATAAATTTATATGAAAAAACATTTAAAGTGATCCTCTACAGTAACTTTAGTCAATACAACCAGTAAAGTAAATTCAACCTTACGTTTTCTCTTTATTTCATCGCGTGAAGTTAAAAATTACGTGTTTGGTGAAAATTTTGGCTTATAAACTTGATAAGTTGAAAAACTAGGTCACCAAAAGGGCTCTTAGTATAGTATTTTATTTTCATCTTTTGTTTGTGTGAATTATATTCCATGTAAAATAAATATATTCAAATTCTTATATCCCGTGCATCGCACGGGTACTATACTAGTTTTCATTTATAATTGCATAGTGATAGTATATACTTCGTAACAAGTATAACAATAATAATATTGTTCTAAAATCTTAAATATACAACTATAAACAATATGTGTGAATGATGGGTATTATAAAACCCCATTAAATTATACTTAGTGTAAGCATCTTCATGTTAGTATCAATATTTAAATAATAATTACTCCCTGTTAGTAGTTTGACGTCGTTTGATAATATCAGTTACTAATTGCTCTCCTATAAAGCTTTAAAAATTTGGATTACATTTATTATAAAATAGAGATATAGAAAATATATAACTAGAAATCACAACAAAAGCAAACAAGTTAATGTGCAACCATTTTTTTAAGCGTTGGAATGAGCGGGTTAAAATGATTCTCCGGGTTTAGTCGGGTAATGGGCCGGGTTTCCGGCCGGGTCAACAGAGGTTACCCATAACCGGCCCGGTATTTTCAGCGGGTCGCCGGTTTCCGGGTCGACCCGCCCGGGTCGGGTCGGGTCTGACAACATAGGCCAGGTTTAACAGTGATTTGTGTTGACTGAGTGAATAGTAAAGATATCTTATAATATGAGACAGTCGGATCTTTTTTTGCCATTTCACTTTATTTTTTCTTCTATTTCTTCCTTGGGTGGTTGGTGGCGTAAATATAGAGCGCAGCAAACCAGACTCTTTTCTTCTTTCCTGTTTGTGAGAGCTTGTGAGTTGTGTGAAGAGAGAAGCTAACTTTTATGAGTGGTGTGAGCCTATTTGTTAGTGGGAGATCTGAGCTGAAATACACACCAAAGGTGGTATTAGAGCCGGATTCAGCGTCGCCTGGAGATCGACGTTGGAGGCTTGTGCCTTGACGCAGGGGAAGAGAACAAGACGTATATTTGGAGGTCAAAATTGGGCTAGACTGGTCAACGCTGGCAGAGGCAGAAGCTGGATTTTGGGCTTGACTGAATTATGGCTGGACATCTTGTGCTGAGGACTCGGTCAACGGCTCAGTCAACTCCGGTCAACTCAAGTCAACGCTGGAGCAAAAAGTGTTGGAATAAAGGAGTTTATGAGTATTATATTTAGGTGATTGTGTGTGGAAGAGAGAATTTTAGAGAGAGAGATGATTTTGGAAGAACTTGAAACTTTTATTGATTTGGAGCTTTGGCTTGTATTACAAATGAGTGAAGAGTGCTCTATTTATAGGTCTCTTAGGATCCTTCTAGGCACTCCTATGTCTTTAACATTCTACACTATTCCATAGGATTCTAGCTTAGGAATATTCTAGAATCATTTAATAAGTACATTAACTAAAGAGTACTCTAGACCTTTCTTTACTAACTCTAACTTATGGGCTAACTAATTTATTATTTCTCATACAACTACTAGCCCAATAAGTTAACTTCTAATGGACCCAATGATTGGGCTAAGCCAAGTTTAATTTCTAACAAAAAGATGTGGGCATTATCCTCCAATGTCGAAAGGTAAATTTCTCTTCTTCCTTTTCTAAAAGAAGATAGTCTTCTCTTCGCCTGAATTTTGCTTTTGAGATTGTATTTTCTGAGGTTACGGGTCTTGTTTTTTTTCTTTTAAGACTAAACATTGGATTAGAAACGTTCCTACATTTCAAAATATAACTATTATGTTTTTATTTTTCAAGTTTGATAGTAATTACTCATATTTTGAGACCATAAATTCATATTTCGTGATTAAAAACACTACAACCGTATTTTTGAATTTTCAAACTTTTTACGCCAATTTCTGGGATTTTTCTCCAATTTTGTTTTTCCGTTTCAGTTTTTACTCATTTTTCATACCACCACCCAAAAAGCACTTAAGTTTTTACAATTCTTACCCTCATCGGCCATGTAAACCTTGTGTGGGCTACATCCTGAATAAGATGCCACATAACATTTGTTTTTAAATTTTCTGCCATTGATGCATGTGTAGTGTTGTGCTAAAAATGTGCAAAATAGCTAGCTTGTATTTATAGTAGGTGTGGCTGGGGCTTCTTCAAACGGGAGACTATTCTTATCCAAGACACAATGCTATGATATATACTCCCTCCGTTTCGCAAAGAAGTTCCCGCTTTTCTTTTTTAGCAGTCCCAAAAAGAAGTTCCCCTTTCTTTAAATGGCAAATTATCTACATAAAAACAGTGCCAAACAGTGCAAAACAGTGTCAAAACAGTAAAATTTATCCCCTGATAAGTTTATTTCCTTAATATGTGTGTAGGTCAAACCGGGAACTTCTTTGCTGGACCAAGGGAGTAGTTGACTGTGAGTGGATAATGAATTGGATGTAATTCAAGCTAAATGATTGCCCATTAGTACGCTGCATTTAGTTAGTGGTGTATCCAGGAATTCAAGTGAGTACTAGCGAATTCATATTACTCTCTGTCTTATAAAATTTTCTCATTTATTCTTTTGGAACGTGAAAATAATTCTTTTCATTTCTCTTTTCGGAAAGTTTTGTCTGACTGACATTCAATTACATTTTTCTTACTCGACCACAATCCTACATTTCAACTTTATTCTCATTTTTTTAAACTTCAATCCAAACCAAGCTGGGAAGATTTTTTTGAGATCGAAGAAAGTATATATTATTCACGCATGTCACAAGCACCTGAACACTTTCACAAAAATGTTACAAAATTCATTATAAATAAAACCTAATCGGTGTGTGAACAAAACATAAAATCATACTTAACAAATTTTACTACGTGAGAAATAAATGAATCAAGTGTAGTTTAACTCTAAAACTTAATAAATATATATTACGTCACTTTAAATTTGATTAAAACTTTTAAAAAGGATACAAGGAAGATAAAGGATGGAAAATTAAAGTTTGGAACAAAAGGGTCGAGTAAGATATTGAACACCCAACCTAATGGAAGCATACAAACACATGCACGCCCCTATCCACCACAATAGATTGTTCTTTACCTACAATTGTGTAATTATTATAGTATACGTTATGTATCTTCGGCACATAAATATATGTATACTATTATTTTTTGAATATATATGTGGGGGTTGAGTGGGGATAGATGCCTCCTGCCCCCCGGATATGCTACTACATTTAGCCATTGGAATTTTGAAGACTGAATTACCTAAATAGGACTAAAAATGGCCAAATTGTAGAAATAAGATTATTATTTTTCAATCCCCCAGGAGAACTATTTATGTGTGTTTGGACAAATATACTCTTATAGCCTTTGAAATATCTTAATTAATAATAAGTTTTTAAAAAATAATAAAAATCATAAAAAAATTAACAAAATATATACTTTTAAAATAAAAATTATTTTAAAAAAATAATATAAAAACAAAAAAAACACCGCCGCATCTGCCACCTCCAATCAGTTCTTTGATCAAATCCTTGAGCAGATCCCTTCCACTATCACTCTCGTGGATAACATTGATCTTCTTGTTCCCATTACTATGGTCTATGGTCAGGTGAAGGAGGCAATTTTCCAACTTTATAAAGCTAGTGTACCTAGCCCCGACAACTTTGGTGGCTACTTTTACCATTCTTGCTTGGAAAAATGGTTAAATAAGTCATTTTACTATGTTTAACCTGTCACTTAAGTCCTTGTACTAAAAAAAGTATCATATAAGTACATCTACTTTATAAAATTGATCAATTTCACCGTTTTTGACCTCTAATAGCAGGTTTTTAATATTTAAAAACTCAAAAAAATTGTTAAAATTTGAAGAATATATACAAAAATTGTGAAAATTTTTAGAATATCAAAGTCAATATTTTTTATTTTTTTAAAATATTTGTATATTCTACATCTATTTAAAAGGTTTTTAAATTTTTATTTTCAAGTTTTTAGTTACACTTTATTTTTTCAGTTTTATGAATTTTTTTTTATTTTAATGTTTTTAAAATTCAAAAATCTTTCTTTACATTTATATAATTTTTTAAATGATTATATTATTTATTCAAATTTATATAAATTTTTGTAAGATTTATCAATATTCCTAATTTAATTCAAATGGCTTGGTTGATTGTATATTTGTATTTTAAAAGTATGCGTACTTATATAATACTTTTTTTAGTACATGGGCTTAAGTGACGGATTGGACATAATAGAAGGACTTATTTGATCTTTTTTCCTATCTTAAATTATATCATGATGGCTACCAATTTTTTTTATTGTGTCCTTCCTAAAAGTTTTGGACACAAACATTACTCATTTAAGCGATTTTAACCCTTTTATGTACCTTGTTGTTGACATTTTTTTTGTGGCGGGTTAAAAAGGACTATATTCTTACACCATCTTCATAAACACGTTCCCCTGCAGGTAGACTTCCCCTCTTCCCCATGGGTTCTTGCCTTCTTCCATTGTTCCTAAACATCTGGGGTGCCCTATGTTTTTCATACCATATTTGATTCCCAGGTATAATTTTTACTTCATTCACAATTTATATCATTGACAAATCACAATTTACAAATTTAATATGAAACGACACCATCATATCCTCTCGGTTCTTGGCGACAAGTCCAAGTTCTTGTAATTACTTCCGGTTCCCTACCCGTGGTAATCATCCTCTTGGCACATTTTTTTTTTTTGTATTCTCAAAAAAAAAAAAAAACTTTTCTTGCAACTTTAGAACCCTAGATCAACATTAGAATCGCCTATATATAAATATATCAGTTTTTTTTCCGTGACCTATCAAGCCCGTTTCTCCTTGCTCATACCGTTTTCTCTTTCGTTTCTCTTGAATCCCATAAAGTAATTTAAGCGAGCAAGAAACGATGAAGCCTGCAGCGGTCTACAGCTTAAGATCAAGAACAATTTACGGATCTAAAAGCAGGTAAAATTTTCTTCCGACGTACTCCCTCCGTTCTTTAATAAAAGTCTTTCTTTCCTTTTGGGACGTTTTTTATTATTTGTCCTTCATTCCATTTATGGAAAGTTTTTACTTTAAATGTACCTTTATACCCCCACTTTTATTATCATTACCCCTTTCTATTTTCTACTTTTTCATTTACCTACTACTCATTACACCTTTTACACTACCCCTACTATTTTCCTCTTAAAACCCGTGCCAAAGTCTAGAAGGACTTATATTAAAGAACGGAGGGAGTATTGTTTGTGAATCTTTGAGAGAATTCCCTAAATAAGAATAAAAACAATTTTTGGGATTTCAAGACGTTTTCCCCTATTTAGGACAATTTTTGAAACTTTTAATGTGATTTGTACTGTAGTACTTATGATATACGTATATGCCTATAAGCTAGAATTTGACTAACATCTGTCCTTTTATGCAATTAAACCTTCCCAAACAAAACGGTGTGGTAGCTATGGGCAGAGGAGGAAAGGCGCAGGGTAACACTGAATTTGTAATTTTTTTATTTAATTGATTATTTTTAAGTTTTGTAGCTTTGTATAGGTATGTGTACTAGTGTAGGTGATTATATGTGCCTGGACACAAATGTGTGAAATTGGCTGATTTTTTGTTGGTTTATCAAAAAATGTTTGGGTGGCTGTGTAGGCCTAAAAGGCAACCTGTTAAGCATCCTGGAGGTCTTGGTCCGCCGCCTCTTGAGTTGACTCCAAAGCAACTAGAAGCCATCAAGGCGATGAGCCGGAGGATTGCTGAGCTTGGACTTGAATACTACAATACCAACAGTGCTCTCTATGGTGGGGTTAGTGGCAATTATATTATTCAAGAGGATAATTGTTGAAGTTAATTTTTTCTTGTAGAAGTGGTTAGCAGATTACTCTAAAAATGAATGTGGAGTGTGATGATAGTAGGAGCTCCTGTGTTTACCCAGGATGGTGCTACCTATGAGCTAGTGGAAACAAGGGAATGCACCTCATTCATGAATCGCACGACACTAATTCTGAAGGCCCATTCCAACTTTACTGCCAAGCCCGTGCACTCAAATGGACCCATCATGCTCTTCTTTACTGAACTCTCATGTGCAGATCTATCAAAGAAACCTTTTGTAGCGACTAACACTACTGTTCAGAGCTGCTACATGCTTGGCCGTGATGGTGAAGGTATGTGTGGCTGCAATATCACCCAAATTCAATGTGTTGTCCGCTTGTCCCTTATGAATGGATTTCTTCTTGTTCTTCTTCTTTTGTCCTCGAGGGTTGCAGTATTTGACCAACTAAAGGTGTCTTCTTCCTTTTGCTTGTTGTATTTTGCAGTTAATACAGGTTCTAATGGTTGCATTTCCTGTGATCGGCCAAGTCTTCATCACCCTCTTAATAATGACTTTGATGTTGGTGATCATCGGATTCATTACCTCTAATAAGCCCATCGTTAATTAGTGTATGGTGGCTGCTGCTATTACTCAATAGGCGCTTTTCGCCTTAACTATGACATTCTCAGTTATCATCATGTACTCGAATTAGCTTAAAACTGTTCATCATGTACTCTATCCATTGTGGTAAATGCACCAAGCTTAAAGTGTTCCTGCCACTCCCTATTTGTTATTCTTCTTTAACTATTGTATTTGTACTTGTCTTTTTATTGCAACTTGGTTATACATTTCCAATGAATGACAACTCTGAAATGGAGAATTGCAGAGAAAATACAAACCATATTGCAATGGTAAAAGTCAAATATGATATTAATGATAAGCTTACAAAATATGGTTTTCCAAAACAAAAATACGAAAAAGTCATACTCTGTATATGATTACAACTCTGAAATGAAGAATTGCAGAGAATATGAAGCATTGAAGCACAGAACGTCATAATAAAGATGATATCTTCAGTGCCGGTCTTCTTCAAAGAACTAAGTTTAATATTATGTTTAGGGCTGAGACTTTGGAACTAAGAGCACAAAACGTCATAACAATTGCAGAGAATATGAAGCATTGAAGCACAGAATGTCATACGAGTAATAAAGATGATATCTTCAGTGCCGGTCTTCTTCAAAGAACTAAGTTTAATATTATGTTTACGGCTGAGACTTTGGAACTAAGAGCCGGAGAACAGAACAGGATCGAACTGTTATTATCTAGTTCGGTTTCAACATTTATTAATGGTTTGATTCTTATTTCTTATTAATGGTTTGATTCTTATTTCTTATTAATGATTCGGTTCTCAATTTCTCAAAAAAATATATGTACTTGGAACTGTTAAGGAAATCGTTATATATAATAATTAAAATTTTATTTATTGCTTATTAGTATATACTTCATATAATATATAATTACTTATTTATTTTTATATTACACTGATGTGAGATTTCTCGCACTTAAAAATGTAGTAGTTAAGTGGTGAAAGTACGATTATCGTCTCCACGGGGACGGACAAAAGGAAAATAAGAATTAGCTAAATTCAGTGATTAAAAGGAAATAAAATAAAAAGCAATTGTGCGAGATATGAATGGTTGGAAGTAAATAGCAGGCAAACGAATAAAATGAATTGGTTTATTCTTAATTAACAACGAAGGAAACAAGGATTGATTCTAAGGTAATCAGATTTCTGGCAGATTAGGTAATATTACATGAACTTGATTTAATTGAGTCTAACTAATCATTACTAAGTTCTTACCGCTCTCGCGGCGTAGAGTACAATAATATAAGGGACCAGACTGATCTCTCATGCGACAGGATCCTAAATTATTACTAAGGTGAGCGAGCTTACGACCCCTTAATCGTAGGGGTGGACAGTGGACTCGGGCCGGGCGGCCCGGCCTGGAACCGGCCCGGCCCGGTACTATTTGGGCCCGGTCCGGTACCCGGTCTTGGAGCCGGTTCGGGCCAACCGGAACCGGTCAGTTCCCAGTGCAGGCTCGGGCCCCCTAAAACGCGTACCGGCCCGGGCCCGGTTCGGGCCTTTTTTTTGTTTCAATTTTTTTTATTCTACCGGGTTGGGTTGGGTGTTTTGGGGGGTTTGGGGGTGGGGGGGGGGTGAAGGGGTGGGGGGTCGGGGGTTGATTACAAAAGAAAAGGAAAAAAATAGAAGCCCGAACCGGAACCGGCCCGGTTTGGGCCCGGCCCGGAACCGCCGGCTACTCGGGCCGGTTCCACCTTTCCCAAATAAATGCCCGGCTGGGCCCAGGCCCGAACCGGAACCGGCCAGGCCCGGGTCCATCCCTACTTAATCGCTACCAATCTCTTAGCTACCGATTAAGTGTGTGTGTGAAGGTGTTAGAATAAACTAGATCTCTCTTAATTTATTCTACAAACAATTTTAATTCTAACCGCGGTTCTAGGTCACAAGAGATATCAGTTAAATTATTCAAACACAAATTAAACGGCGTTCATGCAATTAATCCATCAAGAAACTAGTCATACATCATGATTAATAAATCCCTAATTAAAACTACTCACAACTCATAATTGATAAATCAACAGAATTGGGATGAATAGAAATAATTGTCATTAATTTTTAATTTTTTATTTTAAGAAAAGAGGAGTTTTATTGATAATCAACCCGCGGGGTTGTCCGCGCGGTGCACGGTCGTCCGCGGGGCGTGCAGTACTGACCCGCGGGGCGCACAGATGGTTCTTAAACCGTTTTCTCGCTATTTTCTTCCTCGTTTATTCCCGATCGATCATATCTTCAATCTTTAACCTTCCAAACCTCAAATCATGACTCTAAATCATCCTGTGGACCTCCAATGTCTCTCACTATCTCTCGAATACATCTCGAATCTTCTCAACTTGGGCTCAAACGCCGATGTCGGGTCCAAATTCTTTCTTTTCTTCAACAAATGCAAACCAAACCCGATAAATCGTGACTTGAGCTAAATAAACACTTTGTGACACAAATAAATTATGAAAAGTGACAAAACTCAATCTCAACACGCATCAAAATGCGTGTTGAAATATAAACTTATCATACAACGACTATTTTAGTTTGGTTATTTATGTATTTAACATTATTATTTATTTTAATGGGTTCCTCTAAGGCTCTTAGGCCTCTTATTATATGCCCAAATGGTCATAATTGATTGTTCTGCCCGTGATCTTATGAGATGAATCAATTTTTTGCTGACTGATTATTGATTCAAGATCATAATTATTGATTGTAGTGAATATGTTGTTTTGTTTGATTTACTAAAATTTCCATATTTGTTTGATTTACTAAATTTATGTTTAAATATAAATAAAATTGAAAATATTTATCCCTGGTATTTATGATTTTCCTTAAATACTCCGTACTAATTACTAAGGTTGAATGTTTAAAATTACACTAAGGTTGAATGTTGAAAATTATTTATGATTTACTAAAATTTTCAGTTTGGTATTTATTTATGTTTCAAGATAAATAAAATATTCCGGGGTAAATATTTATGTTGGAAACAACGATCAATTTCTTTTAATTTCAAAAGTTGAATGTATTTTGGCACAAATTTAATGGTGATTTGTAACATTTTTTTTAAAACTAAGAACCATTAAATGACAAGAACCAAACCTATAAGAATGGTTCGATTCCATATCGGTCCTATAAAATATTTATATGAACCGAACCATTATTGAAATTTAATACTTTTCAAACGGTTCCATCTATTTTGCATAGAAAGTGAACCGGTCCCATGTCTAATTATGTCTGCATGTAGTGGTGTGCACCAAAATAGACTTTAAGTACATCATTTCTTACTTGTTACTATAATCATGGATCGGACAGGGCGGAACCAAGGGGGGTCAGGGGGTCAGCCAGACTCAGCCAAGAATTTATGGACAAAATATGTTTCTGGCCGGATTTTAAGGTTTTTTAATACACATTTTTCAAAATCTTTCTCACAGATAAATGTTTTTGTAAAGTTAGGGTAAAGAAAAAAATATTCGATAAAACAATTCACTCTTACATCCAATTTTATAGACTAAAAATTTCACTCACAATTGTTGACAAAAATGTATACGGAGTATTTTTTTTAAACATTTTGAAAGTTTATTGCACAGATAAGTTTTCGAGTAAAGTTATGTCATGGAAAAAATGTTAGCGAAAATTCACTTGTATAAACAATAAATGTCTGGTACGGACAAAAAATGTTCCAGGCAAGATTCAAAGTTCTATTTTTTGGACACATTTTTCATAATCTTCGCAACCAACATTTTTTGTTTACAAAGATAAGGTACATGCAATATTTACAGATAAGTAGTAAGATTAATGAATAATGTAGATAAATTAGGAGAGAAAGTGAAAAAATATAAAAAAGAAACTTATATAACGAGAGTATATATTAATGAAAAGTAAATAGAAAAAGAATTTTAGATTCTCCTTTTACGATTTTTTGAATTAAATAAGAGAAGTAAAGTAAAAGAAGGGAGACAAATTTTTACATTATACTCCATACGAACTACTCTTATATCGAGTAAAAAGTTAAAAACTAAAAAGAAAGAAAAGGAAAAGAAGAAAACACAAATGAAGAAAGAGCGTAAGACAGCAATGTTGGGAATTCGTATGCAGGGGAGTATGAAGTACTGCGTAGTACGGAAGATGCGAAAGAAATATGGTAAAATTAAATAAAAACTGGAAAACATATATCAAATCAAGTGATGACCGGCTGTAGAGAGTAACTTGACCCAATTGATGCTTTTTCAATAGCAAGTGTATTAATGTGATGCTTTTTTAGTAGAAGGGTTGAAGTGATGTATTAGATATAGTAGGAGGGTGTATTTGACCCTTTTCCATAAAATAAATAGGCTCTTACAAGTAAATTACATATTGCAATTGCAATTTTTCCTAATCAAGTTAAAACCTTTTCCTATTCAAGTTTAAATTGTTTCCCCTTTTTCTTAGGGTATTCAATTTGATATGTACTAGTAATATGGGCGATGGTTTTAAAGATAAATTACTAAACATTTGACTTCACTTTGCCAGTTTTGATAATTTATTTTATGTGTCTAGCTCAATTTTCTATTGTCGCATATGCTCTTCTAATTTAACAAAGTAAAATTTTATTTTTATAGATAGTATTTATGAAGTAGTTTTGGGTATGGTTATACTACATATGTTATTTCAAATTTTCAATGGACTAAATATCCTTGACAAAAATGCTTTGAAATTGCATTTTACTAGTATCAAGAGCTGCAGGAAAATGAACACAGAGACTGGATTTGGTCATGATTTCAAGTTGAGTCTAGTGTTGAACTACAAAAGTATAAACTTAAGACCAAAAATACTGGAACGCTTCCAGAGAAGGAAAGGAAAGTTCTTCAAGTAAAGAAGTGGAAGAAAATTTAACGTTTAATCAAGTAAATGTTAGGTGAAGAAATTTAAGTAATTTTAGCACTACTATTTCTTGATCTCCAGAATGAAGTTTCACTACATGTTGCATATATCTTTGTTCCAACAAGTTATCAAAAGTATATGAGTTTCTTCAAATCAAACTCAACAAGGAGAGAAAGTTTCAAGCTTATAGCTGCTAGACAAAGCAAGCAAGTGCTTTAGGACAAAAACTACACAAAGGTTGTAACTTTAACTGAGCAAAACCTAATGTGAAGAAATCTAAGGTAGTTTTGGTGCCCCTTTTCTCAATCTTCGAAATGATTTATCATTCTCGTTTGCTTTATGTTTCCTTCCGGATTGTGAAAAAACTAGAGGTACCACAAATCCAAGTGAGCAGTTTTTT